TATTGCACTTATGCACACTTAATGCACTTTTACTTTTATGTAAGGATATTATGAAATGAAATGTATGTGTTTTTCTTGGAACAAATAAACTACTAAACAAAAAGAACAAAGTGTTATCAAATTAGAGACAAACTGATCAATGGGCTTGTGCTATCTGTCTACAGATTACCACTGAAGTGAACTAAAGATGTTAATTCATTAATTGCTGTTAATGACTGTGTACTTAATTTATTTTTAAATTTTAAATTACATATAATTAAATGATGTTCTGTAGTGAATAAAAACAATACATAAATACCATGACTAGCTGCTAGCGCTATTAACCAATGCATTTTCTTCTCCTTTTTTTATTTAGTGCAGAAATTATGTTTCACTCTTATGGTCTGTGGTAGTAATGTTATCATTGTTCTGCAATAAACATGATTATTTTTTAAATACAAAACCTAGTTAGTCTACAACCCCATTACTCCTTCTGTAATTAATAGCATTTCTAAAAAAAAAAAAAAAAAAAAAAAAAAAAAAAAAAAAAAAAAAAACCCTAGACCAAAAAAAAAAAAAAAAAAAAAAGCATAAAAGTTTGCTAGACCGATACCTTTATTAGGTGATGAGAGCAACTCATATTAACAATATAAATTTTACATAAACTATTTATCTGAATATGATTTTTGATCAGATTTCTCAAAAGTAATACAGTACAAAGTCTTTAATCCGGACTCGTCGGGAATTCGAAGATTTCGGATTAGGAGTTTTCCCGGATTATAGATCATCATTTTAAATCTGGTAAGATGGCATGCAGAAATTATAAAATTAAAAATATGAAACCATAATTTATGAAATAAAGAGCAATAATGATCTAAATGGTATCAAAATTTACAAAAAAAAAAAAAAAAAGCTTAATATTTATTTGTTTACTTAATTAAGCATTTCTTTCAATGTAAGTTGTTTAAGTTGCTTCATTTTTTGTGCTAATATTTTTGCTTTAATTCTATAAACAGACATAATTTCTTGTTCAGTTCCACTGTTCAAGTCCTGTAATTGCTGTGTCGAGAATACCGACTAACTTGTCAATCAAAATTTTTTCGTTTCCAATAACCTCTCTGTCACTTTCTTCACTATCAGAAGTGGTACATCGAAACATGCTTTCGCTTTGTAGATCCTTTGGCAGCTCCAGAATCGGAAACTCTTTTTGACATAATCGAAAGTTCAAGCTTACTTTTTATAAAATTGCTCTAACAGTCTGCAAAAATTAATAAGCCTGCTTCAGTAAAAGCTGGAAAATAAGACATTATTTATTTTGACACAGTTTTTGAAATGCCTGTGCTGAAATTGGCAGCAGTACCATGCAGTGTGACCTATCAATGATCAACTCCCAATCATATGACAAATGAGAATACATAGATAACCCATTCATTAGTATAATGAATTTTCTTAGTTTTCTGTTAGTGAACATGTTTTCTACAGAGTCACAATATACACTTTATACTACAGACTTGGCAAAACTAGGTTTAAATTACCTCATCGTGAAGAAAAGTTGATTGATTGGTTTCTTGAAAATATGGCAATACATCTTCTGATGGAGAGAGACGCTTTTATGGAGGACATTCCAAAGACAACTGGCTTATATTCACATTATACATAGGAAAATTCAGTCAAGCAGACAACTCATTCACCTAAGTTTAAACCCAGGACAAACTACTGGTATTTAGTTGTCTTTAATTGCTTGGCCACTACCAGGGCAAATTTGTCAATGATCTTTAATAGTTACAACCCATCCTTCTAGCACCAATAATCACACCATATTCAGACACAGATAACTTTCAGTGTGCAGCTATGTCTAATATAGTAATGCAAAAATAAAAGCTTGCAGCGATTCACTTTCAAATATTTCTACACTTCATTCGATGTTTTGTCACTATTGGCCTTTCAATCTTTGTTTAAATTATGAAATGTTGTTGTTGTTGACTAATGCTCACTTGTCTGACCTATAGTCAGCCCAAACTCGCAAAATTTCTCGTGGCAAGGAGCACAAAATATGCCTGTCATTGGCAACAGCCTTGAGCACCTGACAGGTGGCAGTGTGATTTAACTCAGTTCCACCCAAAATTTTGATGGAGAGCACCCCAGAAGGATGGGTCTGAAGATATCCCACCCCTCTTTCCCTACCGTCAACCTCTCGTGAAGACTTTCTGCTCACATCTTATTTAGAGTGCTCCCCCTTGCCACATAAACAGTATACAAACATCCATACCTTCTCCGAGATTCGAACCTGGGCCCTTCGGCATGGCAGTCAGGAATGCTAACTACTTTATTGGTTGGGCGGCATTATGAAATTTAAGCAGATTTAGAGATTTTATTAGTTTTTCAGCAAATAGCAAATTTTCCTTATGAAAATCTAAAATAATACTTTTCAGTAGATACATCATGCAAGTACAATCCAACTTATATGGAAATTAATTTAGCTAAGTTTACATTATGCAAATAGTACTTAAAAATAATAAAGTATGTTTACTAAGAATGAAAGTGATACTGCATTTCATTTACATATTAATTTAAAGCAATTAATTAGCTACAGGTACATACTACCAAGTAATTTTATGTACATTTTCTTTTTATAATCAAAAGAAATTATTTGATAAAATAGTTTTTTTCCCTCCCATTAAGTAAAAAATGTTTAATTTTTGAAGAATAAGGTACAGCTAAAGAAAAGGTATGGAAATAAATTTTTATTGAAATGCTGAAATGCATTCATTCCTTTTAAAAAGTACTATACCTTTTCAAAAATATTACACTTCCTTTTATTGAAAATATTCCCTTACTTCATTTTGAAATAAGCAAACAAACATGCATTGTTTAACAGTTGAAACAATAATATTTTCTATTAAAATGAAATTAAAGGCAATGCAAAAACCATGCCTAGCTTTGTAACGTATTATCATATAATGGTTAATTCAGGTCTGATAATAACTAGTTTACAAAACAATAGAGAAATGTAGCGTTAATTTTGTATTAAAAATTTTAAATGAACATTTGTCTATTTATCAAAGAAACTGAATGCATAAATTTAAATCTCAGTTTACAATGGATGAAATGCTTACAAAAAGGTTTGGCATAAATTTAATATTCAGTTTATAGCTCGTATAAAGGTATAAAAGTTTTCATATTATTTGAAAGTAAATAATTTATGACTAGACTTTTAAAACCTTCCGCATTAAAATCCATTCATGGAAAATTTATGGCTATGGTTAAAATGGGATGTAATGATCATATTTCTTTGATAAAACTTGGTAATCAAAAATACTATTAATAAGTGAGGAAACACACATTGCACAGTGAAGCTGTTGAAACTATTGCCCAAGAAGCAATAGAATCAGACTGATTCTTAAAGGTAAAATTATTTCAGTGCTGCAGCAGTTGCACTAACTAGTTAAATAGCATGTTAGAGATATTTTGTTACAAGAAGAGAAATTATTTATTGCATACATATTACAGTAGATATTTGATATCTGTATTCTTAAATTAGATTTTTTTTTCCTTTTTTAATTCTTCAAGATAAAGAAAGGCTTTGTGGAGAGTACTTTTAATATAAAACTGTTAAATGGGAGAAAAAATTTTATTGCTTTTGTTTCCCTGATTAACAGTGATATAGATGTATGTTACATTTTGTGAATAAGAGAAAAATCCTGCATTCAACATTTTTGCTCTATATGTCTGCACTGTAGATCATTAGATCATTTGTGGGTACAAAATTTAAAGAATACCCCCCCCCGAAATTAAAACTGAAGTAATAATTTTATTTAACAAGATATTATTTTTTTTAAATAGGTGTACTCTTACTATGCAAGTTAGGGAAATATGAATAACAAGGAAATATAAAAAATATTTAATGCAAAAAATCACTTTATGGAGTTAGTAGTTTTCTAAATTACACTTCACTCTATAAAAAGAACAGACAATTTAATCAAGAAAAGTAACCCTGAAGTCTGGGATTCCATTTTAAATTTATATTACTATTTGATATACATATATATTTTTTTGGGAGGGTCTTAACTAATTTAGGCAAAATAGGATACAGGATCCATATAAAGTAGATAACTAATTTCCTTAAATTATTTTTATTTATACAAGATTATATTTTCTTATCGATTTAAGTTAAAACTCATTAGTAGATTTAGAAACTCTCACACATTTTCAAACGGAATTACATATATCTTTTTAGATATGTAATCCTAAAATAAAAATATTAATTTTTTGTATAAATGAATAGTAGTTTTAGCATTTTCTCGTGTAAATAATGATGTTAAGTTTTGCAGTGGTTTTATTGAAAACAAATATTTTTTACTGTAAATTACTGTCATATTTTTGGTGTAGGAAAAGGTATTATGCACAATATTTCATGTTCGGAATTTTATTGGCTACGTTATTCTTATAATTAACTTTAATCGGTATATCAAAGATTTTTTTTAAGGAATTCTGAGGCTATCAGATGCAACCCTAAATTTCTATTCATTCAAACAACACATTTTGATGCATTATGAAATAATTTTCCAAAGTGTAAGAAATTTGTATTTAGTTTTTACAATCTCAGATTCTTTTCAATATTTAAAAATTCACAGATTTATTAACATCATAAGCAAAATTAAAAGAGTCTCTGCTTCTCAGAGAAATAATGTATAAATAAGTTCTTCAATGAAAGGAAATTTCTAAATATCCATTCTTTTCAAAGTACAAAATTTTAGAATAATAGAAATTTCAAAACTTAGCATGAGTTTATTTAAATTTTGAATATTTCAAACAGCTGGACATCTCAATATTTTTAGTTAAAAAATAATTTAATGCAATGCATTTGAGAAATTAGATGCAGGGTATTTTTTTCATTAATTTTTTTTAAAGCAGAATAAAGGACACTAATTTTGCAAATTTTGCCTCAAATGTATAATGAAGAATAATTTGCTGCTTAAAAGACATAAATTTACAATCAAAATAAATTATCCGGTTTCAAGAAATTATTCGCGTTAACTGTCTCTTTACAAGTACAAGTAAACGATACGCCGCAGAAGATACATATTTTGTGTAGCGTAATTTACTATATTTTTAAAAGAAAAATAAAAAGTAATTATATAATTTATCATGATATTATACGTATAAAATTTCTGACATATCATTAATATAGCTTTTTTATTTGCCTTTACTGCAGGAACCACCGATTTTATCAAGATCACCGTTACGAGAAGCTGATATATTAAGAACATGGCGAAGCCCGAGAAGAAAAACTCATGTTTTGATGATATTACCGTTAGTCATGTATATGAAACACTGAAGTCAAAGAAATTCATGCAAGATCTGTGGTTTGATTTAATTCAAGGCATTAAAGAAAAGGTATGTAGTGTTTCTGTTGCTGATACTCATAGCAAGTGCTTATTTTTAAAATTACTACTTGAAAATCAATTTAGAAATGTATGAATAATTTAAACTGAAAACAGTTTCTTTACTGTTCGTTAATAATTAAAGTTGTAATACATTTCCATTTCTTTATTATAATGGCATTGTCATTATATTTATGTGCATATTTTCATAAGTTGTTTATAATAGTTTTTTGCAATATCAATGCTTGAGGTCATGCAATTTGTTTTCCAAAGTATAGGGGGATAGTATGTTTGATATTTTACTAAGAGGACAGTGATATTAAATTTGGAATTATAGTTCTTACTGACTTCAGTTAGAAAATAAATGAGGTATAAACATTTAAACACATTAAGAACTATTCATGGCTGCAACTAAAAAATATTACTAAGATTTTAAGCAAAAACTGACAACATTCACAATAAATCTATTATGGCACTAAACTTTTTGTAAAACAAACACGAGTAACTATATGTTATGCATTACTTTTATGAAAGTCGAAGATATGTTTAATAATAAGATTTTATTAACTCTAGTAAATACCAGAGCTTGTATCAAATTAATGATGTTGCTTATATATATATATATATATCTCCAGGTCTATATTATATTATCGATATATAATCCATGTGCATGTGACTACCAAACATTTACAAAAGCTACTGAAATTTGTTTGTCATAATAATTCATGGGTAGAGTAGACTTTAAGGTACCCCTTGTATTATGGCGAAGTTGTTGTTTGATTTATGGTAGCCTGAGTAGTTGAATGTTATGGAAACCCTATTGTGACGTAATCGGGTGCATGATTCTGGGAAATTTTGAATCATGGGATGTTTTATAAGCATTTTTGTGGTGTGTGTTGGTTTGATTCTTTAGACAGTAGAATGGCCGAATGTAGTAAGATTAATTTGAAGTTTCTGTACGATTTGGAGCGGAAGAAGAAAAGAGCTTTAATTGACTGGTGTGTAAATGAAGGTATACTTAGTAGCCATTGTAAATGTCCTGTATGTAGGAAGGATATGCGTCGAGCGTAAAAACTGTTTAGATGGATTTGAATGGGTTTGTAGGAAGAAAGGTTCAGATGGTCACTATGTGAAGCATTCAATCAGAAAGAGTACCTGGTTTGAAAAAGGACATTTGAGTATGATTGATATTTTGATTTTTACGTGGCTCTGGGTACGAAGCGAATTCGAAAATCATGGTAAGTGAATATTTGCTTTTGGTAGTGCTTAAATGTATAGCATGTTTTTCCTTTTTTATGTTATTTTATTATTTGGTTTAAAATGTATTTCGTTGAGATTATGTATTTTTTAGTTTGCCTGTAGAATTTGGTGCTCCTTTGACTTTTTAAGTGAAAATATATCGATGTGTACATGGACAAAGTAAAGGGAGTGCGCAATGCAAGTTTGTGCAATTCTGAGATTTTTTTTTAAGTGAAAATAGGTCGACGTGTACATGGGTAAAGTTAAAAGAGTGCGCAATGCCATTTTTGTGCAATTCGGGGATTTTTTTTAAAGTGCATATAAGTTGACGTGTACATGGATAAAGTCAAAGGAGTGCGCAATGCCATTTTTTTGCAATTCGGGGATTTTTTTTTTTTAAGTGGAAATAAGTCGATGTGTACATAGATACTGAGTTTGTGCAATTGTTTGTCTTGTTATTTTGGCTTTGTGTTCCGCAAGCCAAAATAACGAGTCAACCAATTGGACAAAATCGGTATCCATGTCCCGCCAAGTTTCGCCAAGGGGTACCCTAAACTATACTTTTACCCAATAAAATACATTTTAAATCAAACAATCAACATAAAAATGAAATTTCATCTTAATTTCTTGTTCAGTTACAAAGTTCCATTGTTCAAGGCCTGTAATTGCTGTGTCAAGCATTTTGACAATGTTGTCAATTGAACTTTTTTCGTTTCAATAACCTCTATGTCTTTTTCACTATCAGTAGTAGTATTTTCTGGCTCTAGAGATTTTGCCATCCGTTAATTGATTCATGATTGGGGTTTCATTGCAATAAACATTTTCTGTTATATCATCTTTATTTATTATCGCTTCGTTACATTTCTTTACGAAATCCATTAACTGGAAAATTTCATCTTTGGTTTGTGATATCCAAACACCTTCAAATTCACTGTTGTCATCTTCATCATCCTACCATGAAATATGGTAGCTGGTCATAAATTATGCCAAGCACTTTTTAAAGTATCTGGAGACTCATCCTCCATAGTCTTGCGATTCTTCACGCAGCAGATTTTATGTTAAAATATTCTCTAATAATATTGCAGTTATTCAAGAAATTTAAAATGGATTTTTAAAATGCTACTTTATATTTGTATCTCAGCATGCGTATTATTCTGATATCTATAAGCTGAATGATGGACATACAGTTTGGAGAAAAGAATAATACGGATACATTATCTTTCACTAAAACTTAGTTGAAGTGTGAGCCGAGCAATTATTATACATTCAGGGTAATTTTTGCATCATTAGGTCCATCAACCGAATTCAAATGTTGCCGAACTTCCAGTATGAGATGATATTCAAACCAATCATTCATCAACGCTTGTGTTATCCATGTTGTTTTACTCACATGATATATAATGAGGATAATCTTACTCCTTTAAATTCTCGAGGTTGTGTATTTTTTACAATTATGAAAAGTTTGCATTTGTGTGTTCCTGCAGCATTTGCGCGTGCTAAAATTGTTTATCTTGCTTTGGACAAAGCCGTTACTAGGCCATTGGATGCATGCCTACTTTCTTAAGATTACCGCACCCAGATTAAAAAAAAAGTGCTCAGTGATTAATAAAATTTTTGTTTTATACTCACTAAATACTTACATATAACAAGTACTTACAAAGAATTTAAAATATATAGGCGCGGTATCACTAGAGTCCGGCCATCTCCCGATTTTCACCACCCTTGTACTTTTACGGGCTGCACTCCCGTTAGGAATGGCCCTGGCTTTGGAATCTTTGACACCAGTTAGAGCCTTTTCTGCAGAGGTTGCCAATGTGTTTTGCATCCAGAAAAGACCAGTTTCATCAGGTTTTTCACTATTAATAAGTTAAATGATTTCATCTGCAAATAGTTCAGCAAATTCGGTATCAGCTGAAGCATTTTTAGCTGAAATTTTTAATTGCCTTATACCATGTCGATATTTAAATTTGGTTAACCAACCTGTCGAATATATGCATTCATTTTTTAAGTTCATTTCTTCATGAAATATTTTGACTTTAGTCATTAGCATTGGACCTGTCAATGTCACGCTTTCGCTGCAACGCTGACTGACCGTCACTTTTAGCGTAACAAATAGTTTTTCAATTTAATTTGTTACATTTTTCTTGTTTACATTGTGAGTGAGGTGTCCGAATCCCCCCAAAATTCAAAAAGGTCTTTTTTCTGTTTTGTTATGTCATATACAGTTGATTTTCCCATGCCATTGTGCCTCGAGATTTCGAGACAAATATACCTTTATCCATTTTTTGCAGCAATTCCACTTTTTGTTTAATGAGCATCGAAACAGCTTTGTAGATCCTGTTGCAGCTCCAGAATTATTTTGGCATAATCAAAAGTTCAAACTTTAATTTTCTTAAAAATGCTGTAATAATAATAACCTGCAAAAAAAAGTCAGCTGGATCAATTCAGAAAGTTAAGAAGCAGCATATCCGCTATATTAACTGAAATTCCTTGGAATCGGTAAAGTATAATTTTAGCGTAGCTTTATAGCACCTGCTATACATTATTGGCTATGTATCACGAGATTGCCAATGGAAGACAAGTTCTTCTACTAAATTTTGTCTTGCTTCTATCATGCAGTGAGACAATTAAGCTTGAATTGTATTATTTGTTTATTATACTTCCGTCTATTTCTTGCACATGCTTAAATATGCACATGCGGGTCCTAAATTCTGCTACAGAGCCCCTCACTAAGCTCTAAATTTGTGCCACTTCTAAATTTCAGGTTCCAGTGCTTTTCCTAAATTCTAAAAATTTTGTCATCTCTTAATTTTGTTGCTCGGTGCTTCTCTAAATTCCAAAAATTTTATCTTTCCTAAATTCGGCAATCCGAGCTTATAGAGCGCTGGTTCTGAGTTTATGTGAAAACCAAATCAGTTAGTCTTAATTCAAATAGCACTAAATGTAATCTTTTGTTTTATGAGTGTCATGAATAAAATCTATTTTTAGCATAATGAAAAGAAATTTTTGTTAAATTTTTCCTCATCAACATTTCTTACGGCATTTAACTTTAATCATTACCAAGCGTAATGTCAACATGAAGGTTACCATGCTCTTTCTTATTCAATTTCTTATATGGAAAAAAAAAAAAAAAAAAAAAAAAAAAAAAATGTTTAGGCGTTGCTGAAAAAGTCGTTACTTAAATTGTCATATGCTGATAAACATGTGTTGATGGAAACAAAATATAATAAATAATGATTCTCCAGGTTGGCATCAGGATTATAAAATATTAGTTAGTGTAAAATCAACGATGTTTCTACGTAGAATGTTTCAGTTTGAGATGCATGCCAAGCAGATATGCAACTACGGAGCCAAGTTACTCATCACACAAATTTATGCTAAAATAATTGTTTCTTCAATAACAAGGTATTTTATTTAATGCTGAAGTGGAATTAAGAATCGGAACTTTCCTCATAGTTTATTGTGGGAGAGAAAAAAATCATGTTCACATGCATAAAGCATACACACACAGCAAAAAAGAAAAAAAAAGTTTTTTAGTGGTTTAGAGGTCCAGATTTTAGATCATTCTGGATATTGGACGTCTGGATCTCGGACTTTGTACTGCATTATCATTCTTAAGAATAAGGCATTCTGCACTACAGTCATAAGTCGTTAATCCGGACTCGTCGGGACTTCAGCGATTCCGGATTATCGATTTTTCCGGATTATAGATCATCAGTTTAAATCTCATAAGATGGCATGCAGAAATTCTAAAATTAAAAATATGAAACCGTA